CACACACACACACACACACACACACACACACACACACACACACACACACAATCTTTCATTATCTATCAGAGAGAGCAGGACATTAATGCTGCTCAAGACCTTTTGGCAGAGAAAGAAGAGTGTGCAGTGATTTTCTTCGCGCTCAATCCATTTCATTGACCTTTTCATTCATGCACGCTCTCTGCAGTGTGGGTAAATATTCTAAGAACAATATTCCCGGCCACAGTTTAATAAAACATCTTTCTGGATCCAAATTTGTATGCTCAGCGGCTTTGAGGAAAAGTGTGTGCGTTTCCTTAAAAGGGCAGAATATGTAAGAAAATGAACTTGTTTTCTCAAATCGGTGTTTGATTTATAAATACTCTGAAAACTTTTTGTTGTTACATTTTTGATTTAAGGGTGAAAGGTTAAACCTACTGCTTAGTATTAATAGAAGACATTTTGGTTCCCTGTCCTTCCACTAGGGGTCTGTAGATGTAATGTCAAGACAAGTTGAGAGAATAAATACTGTCATCTGGTGGTAACAAAATACAGATTTTTCTAATTGTATTATGGACAATTTCTTCAGATAATGTGATTATCTTATCCCTATACTTGAACATGCTTCAGCCTCACCCCAAACAACAACTTAGTATAAGAAAAAGTTCAAACAGGACCACAGAAGATTTGACATCGGTGTATTTTTGAATAAAACGGATATTAAAAAGAGGCAGCATCATATGTGATTTATTTAGGAGGGGGAAAAAGTTAAACCAATAAAATGGACATCAAATAATCAAAAAATTCTATTTTATATTCAAGTATATAACTCAGTTGCACATCTTTAATGATGATGATGCATGCAGCACTTATGAATAAAGTTCAAATAAATTAAATTTGGTCCAATATTTGTATTGTATATTACATTTGTCMAAAATTATATGAGCACACTGAGCCTCATTAATGTGCCATAAGCTGATTTTTTTTACAATTAATAATTTAGCTTAAAAATTATATTTTTTAAATATAAATTTATTGTCAAAGTTGTCAAATTGTTGAACTTTACAACACAGTTTGTACAATGTGTTCAAATTAAGTCAACATTAAAATCTTCATATTGATTTGCCTTCATTTTTAAGTGGAAGTTATTTTATGAGTTCAATAATTGCAATGATTCAGCTGACTAAAGCCCTATTTTTTCCTCCCAAAATTGATATTTATCTGAACAGTGTCACCTATTTACAGATTGTCAGAAAGCAGAAGTGTAAAACCATTTAGAACCATTTCTTTTTCAAAACATTTGTTTGAATACATTCTCTGTTTTTCTTTAATTTTGCTGTTGCAATGAAACATTGTTTTTGTCCTGGAATTAATAAAAAAAAAGTTTATATTCCATGAATGACTATCTGAACGACAGAGAATCTTCTACCAAATAGTTTCACTTGTTTCAAGAAAGATGACATTTGTGAAATACTAAACAGCGGAGTCAGCAGGGTTGAATGGTTAAGCTTTCATTGTCCATGATTCCTAGCTTGACTGTATCAAATTAGAGGCCAACAGATATCTCAAAAATGCAGTCTGCCTGTGCAAACCTATAGATGGCGCAAATCAATACATTATATGACCCCTGCTTGGCTTGTCTGATTGCCTTGAAGGGAGAATGGGGGGTGGAGGGTAAAGAAGGGGTTGGCAGAGAGGAGATGCTCTAATGGAGTCTTTCAGTTTGCTGTGGCTGTAAATGAAAGGAGGTTGAAGCTYGGCCAATTATTCTTTCTGAGAGGAGACTGAGGAGTGTGGCGCTGGATCGTTGCCCCGGCAAAGACATAGAGGAAGAGGAAGATGGATAGATAGGAGGAGGGATAAATGGATGTACAGAGAGCCCCYCAGAATAAAGGGGTTGATTCAAAATAGCCCAGTAAAATTGGCTGCACTCCCAGAAATTTCCCCCAGTGCAAAAGGTTAACTGTCAGTCCCCTGCTAGGTATAAATAGAAGTCTGCCCTGCAGAAAGGCATGTTCAGAGATGGGGCAGACACAGGGAGGAAG